CAGTGACTGACAGGCCACTCCACAGCCTCCAACAAATCTGCTTTTATTCCTGTCGACTTGCACTCACATTCATGTGCGCTGTCTTTGTTTTCAAAATGTAGAACTTAAGAAGACACAAAGCCCTGGATAGAACATTACAATCTGCAACTCGCCAAAGATAATGAAGGAGAATAGCTCCAAAATGACCTTGAATGGAGTGACAGATGTGAACTGCGTTAGATTGAGTGGATACAGCTGCAAAATCAGAGTAAAAAGCTACGCAAACAGCTTTGATGCTGAACAGAAAATTTTGATTTTTTTCTTCTACATCTAACATGACAGTACTGAATAGCTGCTAGGATTGGTTCCTTTCCCCTTTCCAAACCAACCCAACCCCCCAGCCTGAAAAGACATAAACTGTCCAGTAAGTTTTCTCATATAAAAAGACAATGGAGCCACACAATCATGACATTTAACATCACTGAGGCTGAAGTTAGTTAACTGAAAAATAGTTGATAAGATATCATCCAGACAATCTGTCAATTTATATTGTATTTCACTTATGATATACTGTCCAGACAATCTGTCAATTTATATTGTACCCGAAATTTCACTTATGATATACTTCTCAACCTAGGGATTGTTTTGTATAATAATAATAATAATAATAATAATAATAATAATAACTTGCATTTGTAAATCAAGTGTATTCCACCATATATGTAATGTAATGTAAATTTACAGTATATATAAAGTATAATTAAATCTGGAAGAAATCAGAAAGATGTGACCCAAATGCATTTGTTGGCTGGTAGAAGACTGATAAATGTTCTCTTTCGTTCACTGACATCGTTCTCCGCCATAACAAATATAGTACAGCTATTTTGTTTTATAAAACCTGTCAAACAGCCGTCAATCAGCTCTTGAGAAATTTGTCATCCATCACCTGTACCTGACCTGACAGGAAAAGGCTGCCAGGAACAGCTCACACCAGTTAGAGTTCACATCAATCAGCAGTACAACGCTCTGACAACAACTCGCATCTCCTTCCCGTCTCCACGAATCACAACTTCAAAACCAAAGAGGAGAGTACGTCGGAGGCTGCAGCACAGAATCGTTCGGAGATCAAAAACAAGTGGAGATATAGTTTTGACATGCACATTTCCCTATTAAACGTCTATGTTTTACCATTTTCATTCCACACACACACACACACGTGCTCGTACAGTGTGTGCACTATGCAAATGTGAAACTTAACAGGAGCAAAGCTCTGCAGCTCCGGCTGGAAAAAAAAGAACTCCAGCAACGCAGGAATAACACAAGGTGAGCCATGTTCCCTGCCTAATCACTTCATGTGCTACATGTTTCGCTCAGCTGCTACATCTTCCTACGCCGTGCCTCCCTGATGTAGCATGACAGATACACAGATTAAAGGGGAACAGGGAGAGAGAACAGTGTTTTCTCTTCCATTATAGAACACTGTATCGGGCAGAGAGCCACCAGCAGACTTTAATTAGAACGTTGAAACACCCAAACATGTTGACATCCTTTACTGTCTTATTTTCCCACCTTTTTGACAGCCTATTCTATATTGGGACAATGCAGAAACATCATACATACAAATTCAAAAATGGCTGCCTTAATATTTTTTCATAGATCCAAGAAGCAAACACAACAATAGCTCATTTTTAAACCATCCATCCATCCATCCATCACTTACCACTAAAGCCCTGATATATCAAGCAGTAGAAGAAACCGGCTTGATAGTCTTCTAACATTTTCTAACATTTTCTTTTTTATTTATTAATGATATTTCAATGTAACGTGCAGCTCATGTTTGTAATTTACTAGATGTCATTAAAAACACACTGACACACACTCAGTGTGACTTTTTCTAATCTTCCACTCATCGTCACCCCACTGTGAAAAGTACAGTATATTGCTTTAGTCAACATTATATTATTTGTGCTCTGAGGTTATGCACTATTTTATTACTTTAAAAGAGTAACTTCACAAAGAAAAAATAATGTGGGGAAAAAAATTGAAATTAACTAAAGAGTAGGAGCAATTTTGATCAGACTGGTGATTCTCATTATTTGTGACAATGATAATAATGTTGAGCTCTGAGCATTTCATTCTTTGAGAGTTCAATATATAGAGAGCCAACATCTCTGTGGTCCCACTTTAATATGAACTGACTCTTTGTGCTTCCTCCTCTGCTAAGAGCCTTTCAGACATCTGCCAATATGAATCCAACCACTGACACCAACATTTTTACAAGAGATGAGATTCATAGTCTGTAGGGATTTAATGGTTGTTGGCTAAATGAGGATTTAAATGATGACTCATTTCATGCATTAAAAAAATAGCAATTTACTGCAGTTTTTCCCTGCCTTAGGGGAGATGGGTTCAACAAAGCTCATATATCCACATGATCCTGTGTATGAATTCAGTTATTGATTTTTTCCTTCCTCAACTCTCTCAGTTTAATCACAGACTAGAGGCTCTAAAACAGTAAAACGCTTCAGTTACAAGGAGATTTTAGAATTTTCCGTCAGACCATGTTACATATTTACATGGATAAAAAGCTTTTATCAAAACAGACGTAAATAAAATTATTTTTATTTTCCTTCCAAACACTACTGCATTTATTTGTCTACCCTTTTGTAATGACAATAAAATATCAAAGAAAAAATATTCTGCCATTTAATTTTAATATTATCACTTTCTTTAGAGGGATAAAAAAGTGTCTGCAGTTAATAAGCATTCCCGTCTCCACTAACTGTAAAGCCTTTGTCAGTTAAATAAAAGGTAATGAGTTTTCTTAAATGGATACAACCATCACGGGGTTTGTTTAATTATATCACATTCTCCGAGTGACCTACCGGGAGGGAACCACATCTCCCTCGTCTCATTATGGTATAGAGTAGTTTCTACATATGTACTAAAACTCGCAGTCATCATCTGTTACATTGATTTCAGTTGAACCAAAAATCTTAACGAGAAATAGAAACATATGCTTCTGCTGTGCTTTAAATAATGCAAACAACATATTGTAGCTACAGACTCCAAAGCATCTCATGTACTCAGTGCAAAACTTATTATTATGTAAAGCTTTTGGCAAAGTAAACCAACAACATCTTCTCCTAACTGTAGAAAGCCCATTCTTTAATTGCTAGCTGTTACAGTTGGTGTTTTATTTCTATTTAACTATTCGATAGCTTCATATCAGGCAAATATAAATCCATTTATCAAAACAGAACATCATTGGAGCATGGATTGGACTATTATAAGCTCTAAAAAACTGTTTAACCACTGTGAGTAGTTAACAACAGCTGACACATGACTAACACTCACCTCAACAGCATTAGTAAGACGTCAGTAAGACGCCCCAAACCGACAGAGGTGAACAACTACTACGTGTTAAACAGTCTTCAGTCATTCATTGTTTAAGGAACCAGGAGTGCAGCCTGAAAAATACCAGTTTTTAAATTTCCCTTTGTTTCTGTAGCAACTGGATTTAAAATGTAGTACAGCAGGTCCCTGCGGCAAATGCAACAGGTGTAGATTCCTAAACGCAGGTGATTTACATCCAAACATACAGATGCCACATCTACACACAATGCAGATATATTCCTTTAAAATGAGTATCATACAGGTGGAGAGATTTTTCCACTAAAAAAAGATGATCTGGGAATCTCTTAAGAGCATGACCAATTGCTTGTTCTGGTATCACAAATGAAAAGACAGGATGGATTTTCCTTCCTCTGCTGTTATACCTATTTCAGAGAGCAGGGCTCAGGTGAAGACAGCTGTCACCCTGATCTACAACTGCCCGCTGCCTCGGTAATGTGGGCCAAATTGTCTGAGTCGCTGGAAATGACGCAGTCATCGTGGTGGAAATTGGAAATCAATTCCTGTCATCACTGAACACAGGTCTGCCTTTAGAGGAGATGAGGCTCAGATGTGTTTGTGTGTAGGCTGAGGCAGATGTGACAGATATACCAATATTTAAAAAAATAAAGATGGACAGGAGGAAAATTAATATACCAGAAAGCTTAGGGCCAGGGTGAAAACTACAAGTAAAGCCTGACATTACTGGCACATTGTCATGTTAATTCTGTTTGGATGTCCACAATAAACATTATCTTACTGCCAATTTAAATCATGTGACGTCGCCCCCTCCTGACTCATCTTTAGTCTTTATTTTATAAAAAATTAAAGATTGCAGAAAGATGAGTCATACATTGTACCACCTCACTGCCATCAGTTGCATGGACCCCTATTTATGAGAGTTTATTTCTTCTAAGACACCTAACAGTCTAGAGTCCACATTCATAATTTGTTCTGTAACCATAAATCAAAGTAGGGGCTTTTTTCTTTTTGGGAAAATAGGAAGCGCTGACACACTAGAGGTAAATCATGTAGATTAAAGGGCTACAACACACTAAAGTGCTTCTACATGTTGAGAGCTTCATAACCAAGATCCCAAGGGCTCCAGGGCTCAATAAGAAGCAATCAGAACTGTGGCTCGTCCTGCACAGCTCTCCTCCATCTTCCCACAAGGCACTGCTCTGAGTCAGCTTCCATCTATTATACATCAACACCTGCACTACAAATCTCAAATAGAACAGAGTGTCAGGCATGATAAAGAACAATCGACCAAGAGGAAGGAATCAGAAGTACCAAATAAAGAAATACATTTGCCCTATTATACTTTTTTTTTCATCGTTTATGTGGTTCATCAAGGTGTTTGTTTTAATGGAGAGATTCTCAAACCTTCTGGTCATTGAAAACATGTAGTGGATTATTTGATTCTTATTTTAAAATGTAGCATTCACAATCATATTTTGTGATTCTACATAAGTTAAGATGTTAGAAAGAGTAGGAAACATAAGTAATGGTAATAGAACCTCTTAACCTCCACACCCCAAAGAAAACACTTGTGGGAATAGTGACCAAAAACAGTTTACCATGTCAAGCTCCACAATAGAACAGCATGTGCATTTGTTGTTACTTACAGACCACGAGTCGATAATTCACTGGAAGATGTTTGTAGAATGGACGGGTTGAGGAGATGACAGCCCCAAGTAACGCCATGGCAGGAGATCAGCAAAAGTCCAGTTGAAACAAGAAGCTGACAGGAAGACATCTGCTCTCCTGGCAATGAGTCCATTTCTATCCTCTTGGTCTTCAGAGTGTTCATCATTCACTTTACTTATAAATAAAAATTACATTTATGTACTGAATTTGTTATTCTTGTTATAGATAGTTTTCCAATTACGTCACGCTACTACCCATAGTTTCGTAGTCTGCCATTTTGAGTGGCAAAAGAATGTATAGATAGATATTAAACACACAAAAGAACACCGATAAAGGTAAATACCTGTGTTGTGTGGGGTTGTACCAACAGATCTGGGAATGGAGATCGCAACATGACGACATCTGTCACCGTGGGAAGCTGACGGAGGTCAGGA